CCCCCCCCCCCCGAATTCTCTCCTTGCAACTTTGCATCCGCGCGAAATTGTCCCAAAAGCGCGCGAATATCTCGCGAAAGGATGGTCTATCTTCCGCTGTACAGTGTGTTACAGAATTACTTTGCGGAAAAGAAAGAAAGAAGTCGATACGAGGCACAGTTTTAAGTAGGCGAATCGGCACATCGCTCGCACATGGCGCGATCACACGCTGGACACGTGTCTAGGCCATCTAAAGAAGCCTCTTCGTCAAGTTACATCACGCTACCATAAAGCTATTTTTGTTCCTTCCACCGCGCTTGCGAAAGTAGCAGCCCTATAGGCGATCGGTGAAGCCTACAATAACCCGAACGATCTTTAAGTTACGACTTAATATAAGCAATTTAGCTCTTACTACTGACTAAATGTTGTTTTTCTAGCGACGGGTGTGTTGCTACAAAGCGATTATTTATCCACGTGCGACGGTGACGTTGGAATTTGCGGAACCACGGTATCCTCGAATTCCAGCCGCGCGACGGCGCGCTCTCTATCTGTGTCTGATCAACAACCGTTTAATTAAGATCTGCTTAAACAGTTGCTACCGTGCGTTCACGATGATACGGCAGAAGTCTCACCACTCATCCTCGATATGTCAGCCTGCTCCGAGAGAGAAAAAGAAAGGAAACGTTCCGTTGCATCTGACGGCGCGCGCATCGTTAGCGTTAGTCACTCGTTGGAGAGTTTTTTGCAATAACGTTTCTCAGACACGGTGACGCGCATCTCGGTATTCACCGCCGGTACTGCGAATTTGTCAGTTTGTGTTGCGTATCTGTAGATTTGAAGTGCTGACGGTGAATACCGGAACGCACTTCAGCGTTCGCCGTGTCTGAAGAAAAAATGTTATTGCAAAAACTCCCTGTTTTCATCGCGAAGCGCACTGCTTGAGTAACCCCGGGTGTACCCCTGACTCCTCCGATCAGAAAAGATCGAGCGATTTTCGGCAACGGAAGGTGCGGCTTTCAATGACAGGATAATTGCGGAAGAAGCGTCACACGCGACGCAGACCGGACTCCGCTCCTCCCGTGCGATCCATCTTTTGAGGGGACACACGACGTAATCGAGCACTCCTTCCCTCGATCCCGGCGGAAGGATTTTCAGCAGTTCTCGCGGGGGATGATGGTGGAAGCCCCGAAGAAACCGGACCGAGCGCCGTCGGCACGGAAACAGACACACGCGTCTCGCGCGCTCCGAGAGACAACGGGGAGACGAGCCGTCGATTAGCCGAGTCGGGGGAGATCGACGATGACGATGACGACGACGACGATCTTGCCCATGTGCGTTGTGCGATTGTAAATATACGCCCTGGGAGAAAAAAAAAGAAGGGAGGCGTGTGTGTCGATCCGCGTCTCCGTATGCGTGCGACTGTGGAAATTCCTCGGAGTCGTGAAATCCTGTGTGTCGACCGTGTGTTTCGAATCTCTTTCTCACCTTTCTCTCTCTCTCTCTCTCTCCCCCTCTCTCCTTCCCTTCCTCCCTCCCTCCCTCCCTCTTTCTCTGCTCCTCTGCAAAATATCATTTCGAACACGTGGCAAAACGCGCGCGCGCGCTGCACTTGTCACAGCGCAGCACGGAGGTCCCTCATTGCGCGTGAGGGTCGAGAGCAGTCGCCCGTTCACACCCGAGTCGTTCGTTTTTCGAGAAGGTGAAAATTTCTTATTTTTAACCATCTCGTGACTCACGAGGTCCTTTACGGCCGAGCCGCCGCGCCGTCTGATAATCACGGTCTCGCAACGAAGGTGGAACGATGTAACAACGTTGCTCGTTGGCGCGCTCGTGGCTCGTGAAAATTGCCGATTACGGTGCACCGTGCACTGTAATTTACGGTCGCCCGAAATGCGATGATGACTTCCGAATAATACAGCGAAAGATCGCTGCGAACGCGCTCCGCCAGATCCGTTCTCCCCCCTGCAAAAGAGAAAAGAGACGTTTATTTCCCACACCCCGTTTGATTTCGTGTCACTTGTCGGAACGTTGTTTCGTCAATATCGTTGCGTCCGACTCGTTTTCGCCGGAGCGTCTCTTCACCGAATCAACGAATGTTACTTCCTCTTCCGCCTCCCGAACTGTCATTCGATACTCAGAGATGGAACTCTCCTTCTCCCGAGGATTGCGATGTCTACGATCACGCAAGAATGGAAAATTTCTTCGCACTTACCGTTTAAAGCACCTGGAAACTCGAACTCCGGCTCAAGGATCCTGTAATGTTTACGTTATCAGGGAGCGTGAATCACTTCCTCGCCACTTGATTCTTTTAGAATACTCGAAGATCGAACTACTTGTTGCTGTTGCGGATCGATATTCCCATGTGAATGGAAACCATTTCGTGCTCCTGCTGCTTCAGGCTTGGAAATGAGGTCATTTTCAAGATCAATGTGTCTGTGCTTCCTCTTCGACTGCGAGAAACCCGCAATTCGACCTGCGATCGATAAACACTCGAATATCTTTCCGCACATCTTTCGCGCTGAATGTTTCCTCTCTGGGGTTTTCAGTTCATTCTTTTTTTTTTTTTTGCTTTCAACCTGCATGTCGGAAGATTTGACGATCGTTTAAAAAGAGTAAGCTAAAAGCCGACGATTCGATTGTTGACGTGTACGAGCGTACGCAACGCGCGTGGGTGTATTTGTGTGTCTTGGAGCGTTCCTCTGCCAAATCCTCGGCGCCATCGGAGTTCGCTGTAATAATAAAACCGTCAGGTGCACACGTCACTGTGGGGTTTATCGGGCATTTCTGCTCTCTTCACGAAGATATAAAACGTGTCTCGTGTGCCAACGCTAGCACTAACATGTAGGTCGTCCCATTCCGATCTATTTGATAGCGAAACTGAGGCGAATGTGTTTTCCTGTTTATAGCGGATTGTCAAGAAGCTTTTGAAGTTTGAGACTTTATCTGTTAGGAGAGAGAGAAAGAAAGAGAAAGAGATTTAAATTTCTCGTGCACTAGCCGTTCGTACGCGATTGTGGCCTTTCCACGAGTTTTATTTTGGTATATGGATATAATCGTGCCGGAAACTAATATAGCGGTGAAATTGCTGACTCACCGCTTTTCTTTCGTGAAATTTTAATGATGTTACTCGGTTTATAATTGTTAGTTTGCTTTCAAACTGTAATCTTGTGGAAAATTAACCATTAGAAGTCATGTGAAATTTATTGTTCCGGAAACTAAACGGTGAAAAGACTATTCGGTATATATACGTTAGATTATCTTTCCCTTAATAAAAACAATTTATTAAGTGCAACTCTGATAATTAAAACCTCTTATTTCACATGATATTTGCTTTTATCTGAAAGATATTTAAAATTAAGTCGTGTAAATCAGAACTATAATATATTACTCTTCTTATACTTAACCAAATAATAATGATCAAACTAAAAAAGTGTAAAACATCTTAAAATCGTAATATCTTAAATTCCTCTTCTTAAAATATCTGAAATAAAACAATAAAATTATAACACGATAAAAATAAAAATTGCGTCTGTAATATATTAATAATGAGTACCGACTTCTTCTATAACTGCAACAACGATCATTATCATAACACGTACTTTTAATAATGTCGATTAAAATTAAGAAAATTAAAATAGAAAATTTCTTTGTTAAATGGATACTCGAAAAAAGAAAAAGAAGTAGCTCCCACAGCTAAAAACTAGCTTTCACGGCTAATAAAAGCTAGGTTTGGTAACTAAATTTCAGTTGTATGGACAGCTAATGTCTTTTTTCCGTGTATGCGCACTAAAATTAGCGATTTGCTAATCTATCTAATAATCACAATAATTTGCAATATTCATAATAATTAACAATGTTTAAGTCCTGGTATAAAATCATTTTGTCCGAAATAAATTTTCTATTTTTTTCCTCAACGAAAAAGGAAAAAGAAAAAGATCGATGGCACGACGGTATGTTGCGCAATACAACTTGGGGATTTTGAATCTTTCTGTATTTTTTAATTTCGAACGTAAATAGCGAAATATCTCGTGTGGGTGTTTTCGATAAGTCGCCGTTAGCGTGGAAAGTTTACGCCGTAGTTGCGAACAGCACGGTAAAATCTGTACCCGACAGCTGCGGCGCGCGCATAAATGTCAAAGGTGATCACTCTCGGCGAAACAATCGATCGACTGTGTCAGGATTGAAATTAATTGCCATGTAATAAACCATGAATTAAAGCAGGAGCGATCGCACTGGCTGCGCAAATGCGGGAAGATACGCGCCAACGCACGAGAGTGATTGATAGTGCTGCAACAACTAACTAACCAGCCGCTAGTTTATACTTTAATGCACACGTGCAAGCAGCTTAATAATGCCAAGGATGTTCGTCCCATTACGAATGATATTCGCCAAGCCATCGATGTGAAGGGAAAGCCACTGTCCGAAATTTTTCTCGAAATGGTGTACAAAATAAACATTTTTTTATTCCGCGCTAGTTTTCGCAACGATTGAGTACGAGTTGGCACAAGTGAATATATTCTCCTTGTTAATTTAATAATTTTTTTTAACGTATCGGATGGTTTCATTGAAAAGGATAAATCGATTCACGAGCGCCAATGTATTGGTTTACATTAATCGTTTGATACACGTATTAACTAATAGTTTTCTATTAGATTATTTTAATTATGATCTCTCTTTGATTATCTACGATATCGATGATACATGTAAACGACGGCATACCAAGCTAGTACAATACACATCAAAAAGTCGTATCATACCAGTTTAGTACATGGAAAAAAGGAATTAGCTGTTCATATAACACATACTTGAAATTTAATTACCAGAATGACTCTAGTTTTCAGCTATGGAAGACAAACAACGGAGACAAAGAGAATTGGCTAAATTAATTAAATATCATGTTGCGTTATATGGACAGCTAATTTTTAACTGTGGGAGCTCGTTTTTAGCTGCGAAAGCTACTTCTTTTTGTCGTATAGTGTACGATATCAAATCGATATCAAGTTAATCTGATAAGAAGTTATTAGTTAATGTGCGTATGAAACGACCGGTGTAAATTAGACGATTGATGGAATATCAAAAAAGGTGTATTTTCCTCGATTAATCGAGATTTATCATTTTAAATCTTCATTCAATTCTGTGTCCCGTCGACCGTGATAAGCGTCGCTTGAACATTTATTTCCTTCTCGAAATATATGCGTTCGAGCAGCTTTTATGCTAATAAATCCCATTTAACCGCTTTTCAATCACGTATCCATCCTTGCGTCACTTTTCCGGTCGGGTAGCCGCTGTTAAAATGCATATGAATTGAACTACTACCGCATAATAAAATTTACATGACACGCGTGGCGTATTCCCACCGCTTATTTTTACGTCACCGAAAGAAATGAACAAAGCGAGCTACGATCGCTTCGGATGCGTCGTTCGGTCAAGGAGAGACATCTCGTTGTTCGCTGCCTTGCTCGTGCGATATCACATTTGTTAAATCAGTGCGGGGAGAAAGTTTACTTGCCTGCGAAGAGCGTTGTGCAAGTTGCGACACAAACACGTTGCGCGCGAACATGAGGAATGTACGCCTCCGCGCATTCGGTAATCGAAAATCGTATACCATTTCTCACGTGATCCTTCGCAACTGTCGCAGTGATTAGGAAACATGGAAATGAGAGAGAAAATCGCCTCGCATTCCGGCGATTGATCATTTATTCCCGACGATAACGGACTGCAGAAGAAGCGAATACTTAGGAAATTATTAGCATTTCGAGTTTTAATACCTCCCCTCTTCTCGTTACTCCTCGATACGTAGTGGTTTTGCCGTCGTGCTACCATACTACTAAATAACAATACTAAATACTAATAAAATTGGACGTAATAATAATAACAATAATAATAATATAATAAAAATAAACATGTATATAAACAGCGTGCGCCGCGTTAACTTAAAATAAATATTAAATATTAATCGTGCGGGGGCAGACATTCATAGGCGATGTATCCGTGTAAAAATTAATAAAGAGGATATATTTCTGGAAAATGTATTTTTATTTCCTCCTCTCTGCTACGCAACTACTGAACCGTATCCCGTCGGACGTCTTCAACTCTCTTGATCGTTTTACCATCGGCGAACTACTTGGCTGTCAAAGCGACAGTCAAACCGGACGATGTGTATTCCCCGTCGTTTAATTTCGTTGCTTCTCGGCTCGGTTGCAGATACAAGCATCGCATAAAGTGCGAAAATGAGTGTCATAATCAGGCTGCAAAACCTGGCATGGTCCGCCAACGCATTGGACATACGCCAGTTCTTCCGGGGCTTGAGTATTCCGGAGGGAGGAGTGCACATTGTCGGCGGCGAGCTCGGAGATGCGTTCATTGCATTCAGGTAAATAATCGATCGCGCGAAAAGAAGAACAAGGAAAGGATGTGACCGGACGGCGAATGCATTGGCATCTCTTACTTGCTTTCTGCGCCACCCGATCGAGATCCGATGAACGATGTTAGGCAATTCGAGTAGTTGCAATCTGTCTAATAAGAGCGTCACCGACATAACTTTTAAACTGTTTATTATAAAAAAATAAAAAAAAAAATACACATGTACTATATAATCAGTACTACAACGCTCTTGATAAGTCGTCTAATCATCATCATTGTCAATTACCGCCTGGCACCTTCCAGGTATATTTTTCATCAATATAACAGCATACTCTCGAGACAAAGATCGCCATATTGAAAGAATCTGATTTCATCGTGTCACACTTTTCCCCCACGCAACTTTATCTTCATTAATGCCCAGATATTTTCAATAGGACTTTCGCCTGATTACTGTGATGGTCAGATTGAATGTTTCGATGTTACTTTCTTCCTTCCATTGGGAGCAAAGACGACTCCGATGTTTTGGGTCGTTGTCCTCTCGAAGGATCCAATCCTGACCTTTACATTGAAACCACTTTTTTCGACAGATGATATTGAACGCTTTCTGGTAAATTTTGATCGTTGGCATTCAAATTCTCCGTAAGGTAGATACGAATTGAATCACACGCAGAATCGAATCAATATAAGATCTGAGATAGTTATCGTTAGGTTTGTGTTTCAAACGATCTGTTTTATCATGCTGGTTACCTCCGTGCGCTTCCTCGCTTATTTGAAACAACACGACAACTGTCTCAAGGCCTGTATTGATCCGATTCGCCGCCGTCTACCTACTTTACGCTCCGGTACTCATCCTTAAATACGTCGTTCTTTAGCGACAGTCGGACGACTTGGACCCTCGTCGTAGGGGAGAGTCCTTCTACCTGCTCGTTCAAAAGTTTTCGATATAACGGTTTTCAAACAGAAGTTTGCCCGGTCATGCTCTTATTAGACAAATTGTATTTGATTGTTTTTTTTTTCTTTTACTTGTCTTTTTAGAAGTGATTTGCATTCACAGCTAAAGATCATTTGGGTATAATGCATTTATAATAATCATGCGACAATGCATTAATATCAATAGAATAAAGTGGAAGGTTAAATAATGGATTAAGGAGTCATTCAACAATTACGTTACACAACGAGCAAGGAGGAGGGATATTAGTTTGTCTGACAGCTGTGATGGTAGGAAAGAGGGGAGAGAGTAGGCCATGGAACGTCATAAGCCCTTGGCACACGATGCTTATTTTCGTGCTGGATTTAAAGAAATCCAGTAACAATGTAGAAGTGGAAAGAGGGGATAATATTACATAATATCAGGAAGCTGTCCAAGTATTTTGTGAAAAATGTTTGTGAAAACGAAGGGGATGAGGGTAAAAAATACTCAAACTCCGCATGAAAATTTCGTGATTCTTGAATGGCCTCTTAACAGTGAATAAATATATTTCCGAATATATATTAATAGATTATTATTAGTACGTTAAAGATAATGGATAAAATAAATGAAAGGAATCTAAAACAAAACTATACGAAAGCGAGGTAACATTACGAGCATCATGTTCGTTGCAATTAATTTTAATTTTAACAGTATGGCTCTATCGTAGCTCATTCAAAAGATAATTACATAAGACGCGTTAGAAAGTTCTAATGAGTTGCTGACGCAAGTGCATAAAGGAAAGGTTTAGTTTCCAGCCATTACCGAACTTCATTATTATGGACAGTAATAATGAAATAATTATCTTTCTTCTTGCGTTTAACTCTCTCTCTAAACTAGTAAAATAATAAAATTATCTGACGCACCAGAGATTAATTATCTACGCACATATGTCATAATATCTTAACTTATTATAACCTAATTATAAAATAGTATTTATTATATATGCAAAAAATTAAATTTCAAGTCATTCAAAATTATATAATTATAAATTATATATTATATAAATTTTTGAGAATCATGGGTTATACATATATAAAAGTGATATATGGAGAAAAATAATTTGCTGACCCTATGCTGACCCTATGCTGGATTATTTTGCTAAATCTACAAATTATTTTGCTTTATGAACAAATTGGTAAATGCAGGACAACACCATTTTGTTTCAACAGCAAATTAACAAGGACCAATTGACTCAGCAGAATTTTTCTATCCTGGCAACAAAACTGTTTTTCTCTGATTACGAATAATTCGCTAATTTTATTATGTCAGCTAAGTTTTATCACTGTTACAATGAATACGCAATAACAACAATATACTGAAAGAAGGATTTGGTAACAAATATCAAAATTTGCTTAATATATGCCAACTAAATGTAAACCAAAAAACCCTCTTTTCAGTGTGGTGTTTTGCTACGAAATAACAAAATTATTTTTCTCCTTGTACAAATTTAGAAAATTCCACGAGGACGCCCGTAAATGTCCGAAAGAGCGGTACGTCTTCTCGAAAACAGGAAAGCACTCGTTCTTCTCGGCATGCCTGTTTCGACACCGCACTGAAAAAAGGATTTGGTGAATATTCGCAGACGAAACGTTTGATTATTGCAACCAAATGATTTAGTTCCACATACTATATATACAATATTACAATTCCACATATTATATATTTAATATACAGAACAAAATTCTTTGATTGCAGTAATCAAATATTTGGTCGGCAAATATTCGGCGAATTTTAGCACTTATTATACGAAATCCTTTCTTCAGTGCGCGTCCTTCCAAATCAGATCTTTTACGTGGCAAAAAGAGCACCGTGCTGCGACTAAATCTCACGCGGTGATCGATGAGACGAGTCGCTCGTACGAATCCCACGTAAACGGTCGTCGTTTCGCTGTTGCAGCACCGACGAAGACGCCCGGCAGGCGATGATGCACGACGGCGGCAAGATCAAGGAGATGAAGATCAAGCTGCTGTTGAGCTCCCGCACGGAGATGCAGAAGGTCATCGAAGCCGCCCGGCAGCAGACGCTGAGTCTGCAGACCTTCATGCAGGCGCCGGTGGCGGTGCCGCCGGTGGTCCAGGCGAAGCCGGGCTCGCCGAACGAGAGACGGGACAAGGAGAACGAGAACGAATCGAGCAAGGAGCGCAAGGAGCGTCGCGACAGATCGAGGTCGCGGGACCGGTCGCGCTCCCGCGACCGCGACCGGGACAGGGACCGGCGCGATCGGGACCGAGGTAGAGACCGACGACGACGGGATCGCAGCCGATCCCGGGACCGAGAACGGGACAGGAGGGACCGGCGGCGGCGTCGGGACCGTTCGAGGTCGCGGGACCGCACGAGGTCGCGCGACCGTGACTCGAAGAGGAACTCGACGGGCGATCGGCGGAAGGACGTGAACGAGGAGGACACCAGCGACGTCGTGTGCGTCGGTCAGTTTCACAAGGACAAGCCGCCGGGCGGGGCGAAAAAGCCGCTGGAGAACGGCGTGTGGGAGGTGCCGCCGCAGACGCAGATGCAGGCCGCTCTGCTGGCGCCGGGGATCCTCGGCGCCGGCGTCGCTGCTCTGTCGCAGGACTCGGAGCAGCGGCCGATGAGCTTCGGCACGTCGGTGATCGGCCAGCAGCCGATGCTGCAGTCGGCGGCCGGTCAGTTCAACATAAACGGCCTGAACGGCGTGAGCAACCTGATGCAGCCGCACGTGCCGGCCCTCGGTGGACACACGGTGGGCATAACGCCGAACCTGAACAGCGGCAGCCTGCCCGCCCTGGGCGGCCTGACGACGCGCCCCAAGGAGCCTTGGAGCCAGGGCGAGCAGGGCAGGCTGGACCAGACGCGATTCCCCGGCAGGGGCTCGAATCAGTTCAACAACAACCAGGAGTACGGCACGAACGGCAACTACCGCGGCGCCAGGCCGAACAATCCCTTCATGAACAAGGTGCAGGAGCTCGAGGGCCGTCGCAACCCGCACGCATTCCAGTCCGGTAGCTCGTCGAGCTACGGGAACTTCGAGAAGGAGCGGCAGACGTCCGGCAGGAAGTCCGGCAACTCGAGGTTCTCCAACGACAGCAAGAGCGGCGGCGGCCACTGCGTCGAGATCCGCAACATGCCGCTGAACGCGACCTACTCGGACCTGCGTTACGCTTTTCAGGGCATCCACATTCGCAAGGACGGCATGAAGATAATCAACGACAATCACGGCAATCGCGTCGGCATCGCGTACGTCAAGTTCAGCAAGGCCGAGGGCAAGGAGCTCGCGCTCGGCACGACCAGATACGTGCGGGGTTCCGAGGTGGAGGTGCTACACCTGGACGAGAACATCTTCGACAAGACCGTGAACTCCTACTCGCCCGACAAGGAGAGGTCGGAGGACAATACGGAAAACGACTTCCGCAACTCCACGTGTATCTTGCTAACCGACCTGCCCTCCTTCACCAAGGAGATGGACATCGCCAAGCTGTTCCACGACTGGAAGATCAACGATCTCTTCATCACGAGCAAAGAGGGCGCCACCGCCCAGTGCACGGCTTACGTGCAGTTCGCGCGGCTGGAGGACGCCAAGTCCTCGCTCACCGCGTCGCTCAAGATCGGCAACAAGCCTGTGACCGCGACCGCCATCAGCGAGGACACGTTCTCGCAGGCTAAGCGCGACCACGAGCAGGCCAGCATGAACCAACCGACCTCGTCCGACTGCATCATCATGCGCGGCCTGCCCTTCCAGACGATCGACCGCGATATCTTGGACTTCTTCTCGGACATCGGCATCGTGCCGCATCGCATCCACATGATGCTGAATCAGAACGGCAAACCGGCCGGCGAGTGCTTCTGCGAGTTCGACACGGCGGACGAGGCGCTGCGCGCCACCGCCAAGAACGGTCTGCCGTTCGGCAAGAACGTGCCGACCATCGAGCTGGTGCCGCGCGCCAAGATGCTCGAGACCCTCGGCATGGTGGATCCTCAGCAGATGATCGAGGCTCAGCAACAGCACTTCCCGCCGATACAGGAGCAGAGGCCGCGCTTCACCGGGCCGATGGGCGGCGGCAGCAGCGGCGGCAGCCACATGCCGCCGCGTTTCGGCAACTCCGGCTTCGGGCCGAGGTGTCCGCCCGGGATGATGGGTATGCCCCGGCACATGATGGGACGTCACCCGCCCAACATGGACTACGTCGAGGGCTTCGGCAAGCCCGGCTGCGTGCTCTCGCTGGAGAACGTGCCGTTCAAGGCCGACATCAACGAGATCATCGACTTCTTCGGCGACTTCGACGTCAAACGGGAGAACGTGATACGTCGGTACAACGAGCGAGGCATGCCGACGGGGGACGCGCGAGTGGCCTTCGCCTCACCCAGCGAGGCGCAGCGCGCCCTCAGGGAACTCAAGCACTGCAAGATGCGAGAGCGCACCATATACATGAAGCTCGCGTGAGTTTCCGCCGCTTCGTCCTGAGGAACGTACAGAGACCGACGCTGACGACGGACTTGCTTCACGTCCGATCGCTGAGTCCTCCCTCCGACGTGCTGAAGCCGGGGAGAACCGGACAGTCTTGGTGATCCTTGCCAGCGTGCGACCGGAAGCACCGGGCGATGGTGAGCGTCTTCTTCGCGGCAGACAGTATTTCCTCGTGAATTTCGTGCGACGCTCTTTCGGTTGGTCGGTGTGTATGTGTACATAGGAAGCGTAGATTTTTTAAGAAGTTCGCCGGTCTGATCGTCGCCGTGACATCCCTCGAGTCTCCTCCTCCTCCTCCTCCTCCTCCTTTTTTGTCCACGATGGTCGAGGAAATTCGATCGGTACTCTCGACGCGTTCCGACGTGGGGGTCTGCGCGATTGCGATTCGGTGACGAGTGAAAAAGCGTTCGTCGTTCACGACGTACCTTATTTGAATGGACGATGGAAAAATCGCACCCTGTATTTATATAAGTATATTATATACAATTACGTATGCATTAGTTCTAACGTATTGTAGAATGGACGAGCCACGCGATATTACCGATAGCTGCGGAAATCTCGTTTACTTTACGAAGATGAAAACACAACAGAAATCGGACGTCTCTTTATTCGCAAAGCTCTTGCGATGTAACATCTTTCGATAAACTCGACAACCAATATATATATATATACACGGAAAAAGGAAGATCAGCTGCAGTAGCTAAATTAGCTGTACAATATATGGACACTCCGAAACTTCAGCAGTGTAAGCAATTTTAATTGCTGCATTAGCAAATTCTTTTACTGCTGCTAAAGAGTTTGCTATTGCGGCAATTAAAATTGCTTATGCTGCTAAAATTTCAGGTTACAACTAATTTTAGTTATTGCGGCTAATTTTCTTTCTCTTCCGTGTATTCATACCTGGATATAATTCGGGTGCTTCTACTAATTATTTCAATTGGTATTCTCAGTTGCGGAAGTTACGATATTCTCCAAGATCGATTGCTGCGGAGAATTTGTGTTCCGACGTGTTAATGACAGAGAGAGAGAGAGAGAGAGAGAGAGAGAGAGAGAGA